ATATCTGGCAACGGCTTTGCCCCGTGCCAGGCGGAGCCTCGCCGTGACCACCCGCCCGAGAGGGACGTCCCGGGGCAGCAGCACCCTGCAGCCGATGCCCCACAAGCTGGGGAAACACCTCCCGAGCAGGCCGGCTCCCCGCAGGTCTTTAGCAACACAATTCATAGAATGGTTTGGGTTGGAAGGGACCTTCAAGATCATCTGGTTCCAACCCCCCTGCCGTGAGCAGGGACATCTTCCACCAGCCCAGGGTGCTCAGAGCCCCATCCAACCTGGCCTTGAACCCTGCCAGGGAGGGGACAGCCACAGCTTCTCTGGGCAGCCTGGGCCAGGGTTTCACCACACTGTCACCACCCCAATTGCCAAAGCCTGGTTGCCCGTGCGGCTCTCCCTGCCTCTCAGCACGGGACAGACCTTTTAAAAATGCCACCAGGGCCCAGCCAAAAGCTGCGTAGGAGGCCTGACACGCCGGTTCCCGCAGGCTCACCAGCAAGGCTCAACTTGTGACTTTGAGTCAGACACAAAATGAGGGCAAAGGACAGGGGAACGAGCGGATAAGGAGCAAGCAGGGAGCCCCCACTTCTGCCTTAGCTCAGGGCTTGCGAAACGACCCTCCCTCGGTGCCACCCTCCCTGCCAGGCAACAGACACTCACCCACCCGCTCAGCGGCTGCCTGCACCCAGGGCTCGGGCAGAGCATCTCTTGGCAGGGGAACGTTGACATCCCGCGGGTTTCTGGGCACCACAGAGCCAGCGATGCGGCACAGTGATGGTGCAAACCTCCCCACACACCTCCCTGGGCTGAGGATTGGGGAGTCCGACCGGCCCAGCCCGCTCCGTTCCTGGGAGACTTGGCTGAGCACCATCAGTGGGGTTTGGCAGCACAGCCCTCCGAGCCCGCTGCCGCTCACCTAGCATGTTGGTCGGCATGCCCAGCAGAGTGTGCATCAGGTCGTGGACTTCCCGGTACCGCTGGATCACGTACGCCAGCTCTTCGTCATCAACAAACTTGGGTGGCATCCGGGTGTCCGGAGAAACCTTCTGCAAATCCAAAGAGGTCCAGTTCAGCCCCTTCCAAACGTAAAGTTTCTGGTCTCATTCTTTAACGCACAGCCATACGTGGCCCCCTCCATCAGCACATCTCCCAGCCCCCAGTGGTGGGGGTCAATAACATTTCCATAGACAAAAACCAGGGACTGTGCAGCACTGGTGGCAAATCCAGCATCATCCAACACCCAGCATCTCATCCCGTCCCACTCCCTCTCATTCCCACAGGTTCCTCCATGGCTCCAATCTCCCTCTAAAGCCCACCCATGCTCCTGGCACAGGGATCAGCGGCAACAGCCGTTTGCACCCTCTGAAATCCCACACTCACGTTGTCCTCCAAGAACCGAACATACTCTCGGCCCAGCGTGCCGTCCGGCAGCCCCCGCAGCCTGGCCATGTCCAGGGTGGAGAGACGGATGCGAGGCCGTTCCCTGAAAGCCAAACGCAGGGCAGTGAGTCTCCCAGTGAAACACACAGCGGGGGTCTTGGAGAAAGGAGCCCCTGAAACGCCTCATCCCCTGCCTCTTCCCTTCCCGGGCATTTTCCTTGCACGGATCCTGACCGTTCGCTGCAGGGATAGCACTGTCATTTCTATTGCGGAGGCAGGGACACCAATTGCTTAAAGGATCTATCTGAAGCCTTGGCTGTCATTTTGCACTCCTGTAAAACTCCATTTGGAAAAACACCGGAGTCCTCTGCACCGAAATGCTGCCGCACAGGCTGCTGGCCAGGCACAGCCCCCAGCAACGGCCAGCCCCGGGGGAGCAGAGCCCTTCAGCATCCCTGCAAAGCAGACAGAGCTTCAAAGGAACAACCCTGAAGAGGGGAGCGGAATTGTTCTAAATGCAGGTTTCATTTTCCTCCGGCTTAGGCTTTCACCACCAGCCACGTGGCAGCCATGCACGGAAAGGTCTCCTCTCCAGGTTGTTGGCAAACAGGTGCCCCACAGCCCTGGAACAAAACAAAAGCCCTTTTATTTCCATGCACAGGATAAATTCCTCCCATGCCAAAAGGCTTGCAGCGGAGCCAGGAGCTCTGGAGCGGAGCGGATCTGCTCAGCTCCTGGAGCGGAGATGCCAGGGAGATAAGCAGGACTCACAGCAGCTTCACCCTGGCTGCAGACGCTTCCTTGTGTATTTGGTGTCAAAGGGACCTCAGCAGCTTGGAGGCTTAAAAAAACCCACTTGTGTGCACAAACCGAACCGCTGCAAATCCCTGCACCACGGGGCAAGGAGCAGGTGGGGACGGCTCTCCCCAGCCCTTGGTGCCTTTGCTGTCCCCTCTCCCTGGGCAGTTCCTCTGGGTCTCAGCCCCATCCCGGTGCTCCGTGTGCTTTGCCAGGTCAGCGTCCAGAGCCAGGATCAGGCTGCACTGCACAAACCCATGGCAAAAGGCAGCTCTTCCCCAGCCCCTTCGCGGCACAACCCGAACAATGCACAAGCGGCAGCGTGACACACAACGAGGAGCAGGGAGAAGGCAAGCAAATAAGCACTAAGATCTTGGTTAATAAGAGACTCATGAAGTCCCTCCTGGTCCTCAGCCTCGCTGCGCTCGAGAAGTCCCTGCAGACATGGAAGTAAAAGTGATCAAGCCTTAACAAGGAAGAGAAGTGGCCTCGTTTCACAGCCTGGGGAGATGCTGCAGGCGCTGGGAAAGAAATTACGGAGGTGTCTAAGGAGGAGGCAGAGCAGCGGAGATGAAGTCTCCAACACAAGGAGACGCAGGCGCAGGGGAGAAATCCATGGACGTGGCCACATCCATGGATTTCTCCCCTGCGCCTGCATCTCCTTGTGTTGGCACCTGCCAGTTCCAGCAGTGAAGCAGAACAGACAGAGAGCAGCGCCTGAAGTAGGGCTGGGCCCAGCAACTGCTGCGCTCTTGCCCGTAGACTTGCCACGGGGCTCTTGTGATCAGATCATATAAAATAAAACAAACAACCTGGAGCGTTAGAGCTAACAGAATACTTGCGCTGCTTTCAAGCCAGGGAGCACAAGGCTCTCCCCTCACGGGGCCCAAGGAATGTGCCTGGCCTTGTGCCTCCCTCCCCACCACGAACCGCACTGCGGAGGGACGCACTGGAGGATGCGGTAACCTTCAGGGTGGTGCTTCATCTTGTCTCGCAGGTTGGGCAGGGCAAAGCAGCCCGTGGTCTCCCCGAGGACTGCCACCATGTCTGGAAGAGAGACCAGAGAATGACCCGAGAGCGGTTTTCGCAACACCCAGCCGTCCGTGGTTGGCAGGTGAGGGAACGGAGCAATGAAGCCCTTGGCCGGGATCATTAGGGGTGCATTAGGAGGAGCGTGGCCAGCAGGTCAAGGGAGGTTCTCCTCCCCCTCTGCTCTGCCCTGGTGAGGCCCCATCTGGAGTACTGTGTCCAGTGCTGGGCTCCCCAGTTCAAGAAAGATGAGGAGCTACTGGAGAGAGTCCAGCGGAGGGCTGTAGGGGACTGGAGCATCTCTCCTAGGAGGAGAGGCTGAGGGAGCTGGGCTTGTTCAGCCTGGAGAAGAGAAGGCGGAAAGGGGACCTTAGAAATGCTGATAAATATCTGCAGGGTGGGTGTCAGGAGGACGGGGCCAGACTCTTTTCAGTAGTGCCCAGCGACAGGACAAGGAGCAA